GAGGAAGAATACACCCAGTAGAATAGCTGCTACACACATACCAGCAGCACCCGCTACCAAAAGAACTCTTCTTCCCGCGATATCCATGATGATGCAAGCAATTAGAGTTACAACCACTTGAGCAGCCATAACAGCAAGTGCCATAGCCTCTTTGTTATCCAATCTAGCAGCCTGGAAGATAGTTGTTTGATAAAATATAACGGAATTGATACCGGAGAACTGCTGGAGGACTTGCAAAGCAATACCAATGAACAACTGCATCTTGCAATGGCCAAGCGCACTGGAAGCCCAGGAAGCACTCTCCTTCCAGGTGTTCTTTGCGTTCTTAGCATTATGGGCAGCTAATATCTCATAAGCCTTCACTTCTTCCATGATCTCAGGATCCTCTTCAACTGACTCATAACCTCTCAGTCTCAATAGAACCATCTTGGCATCGTCAGCACGACTATGCTGAGCTAACCAACGAGGAGATTCCGGAACGAAGAACATACAGATACCCAATAGAGCACTGGGAATCAAATAAATCCAACTCACAGTACGCCACTGACAGAAGGTGCCGTCGGTAGCATTGGGATCAATAGAGCCGGCATCAGTTCTGAAAGCCATCCCAAGAGCATAGGCGAGAAGGACACCGATTGTGATGGAAAGCTGGTTGCACGCTCCCAAAGTCCCACGAATAGCCGTGGGAGAAACCTCACCGATGTAGGTTGGAGCCACGACGGACTCAACACCAACAACGAAACCGACCAGAACACGAGCGAACAGCAACTGCCATGAAGTGTGGGCCAATGCCTGCCACGCGTAGATCAAAACGAAGCAAGGAGAGCACAACAACAAAGTCCGTTTCCTGCCGAACTTCTCACTGAAGGGACCCCCCAATAGGATAGCACCACCCATAGCGCCCAAGTTAACCAGAGACCCAAACAACGAACCATCTGTAGATGTATCAAACACATACAAATGGTCATCGGGACCAACCTGGATAAGGACACCATCGGCAGTGGTAACATGATTCTTCATGGTATCAATAGTCTGACCAGTGAAACCCAAAGTTAGACCAAACATGAGTGGACCTAGTAAACATGCTGCCACAGAGAGTACTGCACAGAGGTATCTCATTGACTATTAAAACATCAATGAATCTGAACAAATGAACCTTAGAGTACAACATAAACATCGACTCCATGCTCGCTAATTCGCTCGCATAACTAGTGAGTATCCTGATCGGCACAAATTTCTGCGGATTGTGTCCTGGTTGAGTTATAGGCAGCTCTATCCGGTTTTCTCTAGAAGGATGGATATGCCGTGCTAGGACCAACAGAGGAATCTCAGGAATCCAAGAAGA